CAGGATGAGCTGGGAAAGGCAAGAAGCCGAGGTGAGGAGATCCCAGCAAGGTGGAATCTTGCTGCTCCCGTCCCATGGACTTTTGTGGGGCCAGGATTTCACCTGTTCTTCCTTGTTCTTCCTTGCCAATCTCAACATTCTCATTGATCATGGGTAGGTCTAACACCTACTTAATTAATGACAAAAACCCTCAGCTTTAGTTGCAGTGGTTCTGTGTAAATTTTCCAATAAACCATTTTTTCTTTAAATAAGAACCAGGTTTCTCTCCCAGTGTCTCCTCAGACTCTGTGGGGCTGTTCCAGATAGTTGGATTCTCCCTGTTCATATCGGCCACTGTTGCCTTCTTCCAGCTACACCTAAATAACAACAGCAACAGCATGTGTTGGAACTGTCTTATTCCTGAGAAACAGCTTGTTCTACCTTCACCTCTTTGCTTCTGGTGCTTTTTTAAACAAAAAGAAAAAGCCGAAGACCTCACTCCATCCTTGCCGTTGAGCAATTTTCTACGATGTCTGTGACTGTGGTACCTTGAAACCTGCCACAAAAGACAACCCATTGCCAGAAGCCAAATGACTCGAGGTGCTATTTTCCTTCCTGCAGGCCTGGTAGTCCGTGAGGAAAAGCATGGTTCCACCCAGCAAGGGAATTAAAAGTATATTGTACAATAAACCCACATAAAGCAAATAATCTGAAAGGATTTAAGCCACTCGGTGCCAGGATTTTGTGGAGCGTGGTGGGAGCCTTGATCCTGGCACCTGCAGGAGCTGGATTCTCTCTCCATTCCCTCCTTCCAGCTGCATCCTGGGTTTATGGTATTCACTCCCTTTCTCTGCTCTTCAGTTCCTTGCAGACATTCACCACCTCTCCACATCCATCACCCTGGTTCCCTGTTGCTTCCATTGGGAGCCTCCAAGCTCCTGTCGATTTGGGGGTGTTGGTGATGTGGGAACACAGATCTTTCCTAAATCCCTCTGTGTGGCGCAGTGGGGCCACACCAGCCCTGCTGCTGCTGCCCCTTGGACTGGAGGGGTTGGTGGCTCTTGTTGCTTTAGGCTGTGAGCATGGAAAACCCTCTTCCTTAAGTAGGGGAAGAGCAGAGTGGGTCATGCAGGAACAATTTTCTTAACTTGTAAAAATCTTATTTTGCATTTTAGCTTCTTTTCCTTCTCCTCCCCTATTTAAAAACCTGTAAAAACCCACCCAGTATGTCACAATTGGACCTTTATATACCCTTTTCCAGTGGTTTTGGGGGGTCCCAGAGTGAGGAGGCTGTTCCCTTATCCCGATTTTGGACCCCCCAGAGTATGGGCTCTCTATTTATTGTCATTTACCCTGTAAATATGGAGGGGTTAGGGGGTGCCTGAAGTCTGAATGTGCAGCCTCACCTGTTGCATGTAGACAAATACATACAGTACTTAAAGATTTATCTTTAGCTTTGCTTTTTATATGTAAAAATCTATTTAAAAGAGAATTTGAAAGCCCAAACAGTTCAAACCCCTGGGGTTTGTGTCACATTCCGACAGCCCGTGCCCTCCAATGCTGGTGTGTGCATCCACCTTCTGAGGAGGAGCAGGTGTGGGCCAAGCCCTCCTCTTCCTCCCTGCCCTTGGGTGACTCAATTTTGTCATCAGCGTTACGGAGTGCAGAGCTTTCTTCACAATTCCCTTGGAAATATTTTATTCTTTTCTTTCCTTGTTTTTATTAAAGGTGGGCAGAGAGCCAGGTAGCACTCAGGAGTGTTTCCAAATCGTGTCACTTTGAGGCTCTTTGAACTGAGGATGCAAAAAATAAAGCAAAAAAAAAAAAAGGGAGAGAAAAATGGAAAACCTGCATAAAAACTAACTTTTCCCATGTCATAACCTCGCACGTGCTTCTGTCCCACTAACAACACACCATGTACCAAATAAAACCCTTCTAACACCTGATATCTATTGAAGTGCTTTGTTCTGATGGAGGTGTGCAGAGTTGGAAATGCAGGGATTCATCTTTAACCTTCCATGCTCCGACTTAGGTTTGGAAAAAAAGGAATTTGGGTGTGTTTTTTTATGCTGAAACTTTATAAAACTTCATCAGTCACTCCAGGTGATCGCATCCCTCCAGCTTCTCTCCAGGGTCTCTCAGATTATACTGCCTATGCAACTTCTGCTCTTGGAGATTTAAACAAAACCCCACTAATTCTGCCTGTTCTGCATCTTGTCTTTGTATCTCCCTTCAGGGCTTTGTATACTTCACTGAGGTTCCCTTTTTTTAATTTTTTCTAAATATATATATATATATATATGTGTGTGTATATATATACAGACTTAGTTCCAAAACAGTAACTCCCATAGAGGTAAAACATGGATATACTCTGTCTTGAGAATTTGCAATTCATTTTTTTAAAGCATTTGTACATGTAAATGTTCCTCCTTGAATTCCTTGATTTACCCTCATTTTTTATTTTAAATCTGAGTGCCAGGAGTAGAGAGCAGAATGGGGCAGAGGACATTATCCTGTCTGTGCCCTCTGGAAAACATCCCAGGGATCCGTGGACTTGGAGAGCATCTTAAAGGATGGAGACAAACGAGGTCCTTGTGTTGATTTGGGATTTCCAAAAAATATTCTCGAAATCATGAATTTCCCAGTTTTGTTGGTTTTTAAGGTCACCCCAAAGCCTCACAGCTGCGGAGCGGCTTTGCGGGGAGGCAGAGGGGGACTTCTCTAATGAAGGTTTGCAAAATGATTGTCCTTTCCCTTTCTTTTTTTTTTTTCTTTAATCAAAAATCAGTTTTTTGGACAACAAAACAAATTATTTTTGTCTGGAAGGAACTCCACTCTAGCATTACTCCCCCTTTTGTTTCTTCTCCCCACTCCTGCCTTTAAACACTCCACATCCCCAAAGCAAAGCTGTGGCTTTTGGGATGCATTTTGTGACTGTCCCTGAGCACCCCCTCCTCAAAGCTCCCCCTTTTGCACATCACCCTCAAGGAAAGAAACTCCATGAAAACAATGCAAAAACTGGAATTTTTTGCAATATTCTGAAAGATAATCTAATTTTCACTCATTCTGTGTGACACGTGCGACTCCTATGAAAGCCATAATTAATGGTTCCTTTGATTTTGTAGATCCTGAGTCATGTTTTGAATTTCAGCCTTTTTTTTTTTTGTTTCAGTCCCCCTAGTCAGAGTGCTGTGTGTATGCTTTCATATATATTTATTTTTCAACGTGCTTTAAACCTGTCTACAAAAATAAAGCTGAACAAACACAAAAAGGACAGTGTTTGAAGATTGTTGATTATTTTTTTTTTCATTTTTTGCTGGGAATATTCTATATTATACTGACTTTATATTAATTATTATAAACCTGTGTTTGTATTGAAGATGTGTTTAATATTTTGGGGAGGTTGAGGAGATTTCGTAACCAGAAGTCAGTGGGAGAACATGCTGTGTTGTACTGATTTTCTGTCAATGTAGTTCAGGTAAATCTGATTTTATTTTCTAGTTGCTGCCCAGTTCCTCGCCTGCCGGGGGCTGCCCCTCGGATAGAACCTTTGTGATGGGATTTAGCTTAGACATACCTGCAAAAATCAATCAGTTTCAATAAATTGGGAAATTGCTGCTACAATTTTGTCTGCTTTTTCTTTTTTTAAAATATGTTACTATTATTATTATTTTCCTCCTTGCCTGTGTGGAAGGATGGGGACCAGAAGGGAGCCCTGCTCACCCCCAAGCTGGGGGTGCTGCTCCCTCCCCCTTCCTTCCCCATCCCAAACAGGCACCTTTGGCTCATTCCCTCCCTCCCTGCTGCCTGTTGGTGGCAATCTCCTTATTTTTTGGGCATTATCTGAAATGAAATTAACTCGCAGGAGGATGCACAGGGTGATGCCATCCCTGGGGGATGTGGGATGCAGGAGGGGGTAACAGCAGTGGGTCTGGGGGTGCCAAGGGGCCTCAAGGTGCCCACCCTGCCTGTCTTAACAGTAACTAAAGAATAGGAATCATTAAAAAAAAAAATCTAAATATTTATTTTTTTTTCTTTTGGATCTGATACATCACATCCCTGGAGGGGACAAATAGGGGCACAGCACCAGCCTTGACCCACAGGGCCAAAGCAGTGTCTGACCCCCTGCAAGGGAGGACCCTGCAGTGAGGCATCCCTGATGCAAAGGGAACCTTCCCACAGGGCAGGAGGGTGGCAGGGCCACCACCCCTCCCTGTCCCCTCCCTGCATGAGGACAGGAGCAGGGTGGCATGGCCTGGCCAAACCCCAGCTGCTGCCTCGACTGGAGAATGACAGGACAAGAGGGGAGAAAGGGTTTTGAGGAGAAGATGGGGGGTTTTTTGGGTAAAAAGGGGGTTTAAAGTGAATTAAACCCCTCGACACCCACCCATGGCTGGAGGAACCCCGCTGCTGCAGCGCCGTGGCCCACGCGCTCTCGTGCTGTGGGAGTATGTAAAAATACGAATTTTCATATATTTTATTTAAAAAATAAAAACCACACGAAGGAAAAAAAAAAAAAATAAAAGTAAAGGAAAACAAAAAGACCCCTCTTTGTGCAGTTTGGCATAGTGCAAATGGGCGCATTCCTGCAGGCACTTCCCGGGGCATCGCCCCGGCGGGGGCTCCCCAAAACGAGAGAGAGAAATGACATTACAAAGAGTAAAAACCCCCCCTGGGGGGGTGAGGGGGGGCAGGCGCCCACCTCTGCCCTGGGCACTGGGGCTGGGAACGGACACCCCCTTTTCCAGCCCCCGCTGGCCACAGGCACAGCTTATTTGAGCCGTGGGGGGGTCCCCAAACCGGAGCGGGGAGGGGGCCGGGAGCAGCCAGACACCCCCTGCCAGCCCCCGCCGGAAAGGAGCGGGGTTGGATTGTTGGATTTAGCTTATTTTCGAAGGGAAAAAAAGGCAGGGGGGACAAGCTCCGTGGCGGGGGGGGGGGGGGGGGGGGGG